TGGCAGGGTCCCAGCGTGGGCCGGTTGTTCTTGCGTCGTCTCCGACACGCTGCATGTGCCCCGCAGCACACCGATGGCGACCCACGAAAGGCCAAACATAGTAATATCAATCCAATGGCCCCATAGGTCGTGGTCGGGCATTCGTGGCTGGGGGTTGTGGTGTTTGGTCGTAAGCCTGCTATGGGGTGGAGGCGCCACAATGTCGTATCCCATGTTGCCATGCATGGCGTTTTCGAAAAAGTTCCAAATTGGAGTAGGTGGGTAGACTGCAGGAGTGTAGTAGCGCAGGGAAGTCGGATTCTTGTACGAAGCCCCCACGAGAGCGGAGGTAACGCTGCAATTGTCCTTGCCGTTGTGCGTAAATATATACATTCCTCCGCGCAGAACCACTACACCCTGATGTTCCACCATGTCAGTAGTCCACCAGATGGTGCCGTGGATGGTGAGGAGTGGAGCAAGAGCTGACTACCATAGGCCAGCTCCGCTACCAAGTTTGCAAGGGGCTGGGAAGCCCAACCAGCAGCTTCGCATAAGGCGAAGCCCATCTCCAACTCTGTTGTACCGTGGTAACGATGGCCCCAGAAGTAGGGAATCGTCGCGGGAACGACGGGCCATCTCAATATATGATTTCGGTCTCGATGGCAAGTTGTGTGCCTCGAGATGAGGCGCAGTCATATCCTGGCGGCCTGCAGCTTGAACACAAACGGCCGCGGACAAACGCTCGCTATCTCTCGCCTTTGCCCCAGCTCCCTTTAGAGTGCATAGCGCTGTGGCAGTTGGATATGCGGCTCAAGCCAGAGGCGGTAATGCGAAGGCAGCAGCGTGGAATAAGGATTCCCCGCTGCAGTGTCCCGGCGGAGAACCGCGGGCCACGCGGGGGCTCGTCGTCGGGCCCTCCGCCAGTGGCTCCTCCTTTTTCTCCTTGTCGTCCCCCGCCCCCTGCCCCCCCCCCCAACCCATCCCCCTGCTGTTGCTCAGTCTTCCTCCTCGCCCTCGTCGTCGTCGTCGTCCTGGTCGTCGTCGTCGTCGTCGTCGTCGTCGTCCCCCTCCTCCTCGGCATCCATTTCCACCCCCTAAATGTCCTCCTCCTCCTCCTCCTCCTCCTCCTCCTCCTCCTCCTCCTCCTCCTCCTCGGCATCCGTCTCCTCTTCCTCATTGTCCTCCTCCCCCTCCTCACCATCCTCCTCCTCCTCCCCCTCCACTTCCTTCCTCCTCGCCATCCTCGTCCTCGCACTCGCCCTAGCCCTCCGCGGGCGCTTTGAAATGTGTCGCCCGGTTGCGGTTGCGGTTGCGCGGTCCCGCGGGCGCTTTGAAATGTGTCGCCCGGTTGCGGTTGCGGTTGAAATCGCTTTGAAATGTGTCGCCCGGTTGCGGTTGCGGTTGCGCGCCCGCGGGCGCTTTGAAATGTGTCGCCCGGTTGCGGTTGCGGTTGCGCGCCCGCGGGCGCTTTGAAATGTGTCGCCCGGTTGCGGTTGCGGCGGTTGCGCGCTCCCGCGGGCGCTTTGAAATGTGTCGCCCGGTTGCGGTTGCGGTTGCGCGCTCCCGCGGGCGCTTTGAAATGTGTCGCCCGGTTGCGGTTGCGGTTGCGCGCCCCGCGGGCGCTTTGAAATGTGTCGCCCGGTTGCGGTTGCGGTTGCGGTTGCGCGCTCCCGCGGGCGCTTTGAAATGTGTCGCCCGGTTGCGGTTGCGGTTGGTTGCGCGCCCGCGGGCGCTTTGAAATGTGTCGCCCGGTTGCGGTTGCGGTTGCGCGTTTGCGCGGTTGCGGTTGCCGCGCGCGGGCGCTTTGAAATGTGTCGCCCGGTTGCGGTTGCGGTTGCGCGCTCCCGCGGGCGCTTTGAAATGTGTCGCCCGGGTTGCGGTTGCGGTTGCGCGCTCCCGCGGGCGCTTTGAAATGTGTCGCCCGGTTGCGGTTGCGGTTGCGCGCCGGTCGCGGTTGCGGGCGGGCGCTTTGAAATGTGTCGCCCGGTTGCGGTTGCGGTTGCGCTCCCGCGGGCGCTTTGAAATGTGAAAGTGTGTACGCCGGTTTGCAGAAAATGTGTCGCCCGTTGCGGTGCGGTTGCGCGCCCGCGGGCGCTTTGAAATGTGTCGCCGGTTGCGGTTGCGGTTGCGGTTTTTGAAATGTGTCGCCCGGTTGCGGTTGCGGTTGCGCGCCCGCGGGCGCTTTGAAATGTGTCGCCCGGTTGCGGTTGCGGTTGCGCGAGTTTGAAATGTGTCGCCCGGTTGCGGTTGCGGTTGCGGTTGCGCGCTCCGCGGGCGCTTTGAAATGTGTCGCCCGGTTGCGGTTGCGGTTGCGCGCCCGCGGGCGTTTTGAAATGTGTCGCCCGGTTGCGGTTGCGGTTGCGGTTGCGCGCTCCCGCGGGCGCTTTGAAATGTGTCGCCCGGTTGCGGTTGCGGTTGCGCGCCCGCGGGCGCTTTGAAATGTGTCGCCCGGTTGCGGTTGCGGTTGCGGTTGCGCGCTCCCGCGGGCGCTTTGAAATGTGTCGCCCGGTTGCGGTTGCGGTTGCGGTTGCGCGCCCGCGGGCGCTTTGAAATGTGTCGCCCGGTTGCGGTTGCGGTTGCGCGCGCGGGCGCTTTGAAATGTGTCGCCCGGTTGCGGTTGCGGTTGCGCGCTCCCGCGGGCGCTTTGAAATGTGTCGCCGGGTTGCGGTTGCGGTTGCGCGCTCCCGCGGGCGCTTTGAAATGTGTCGCCCGGTTGCGGTTGCGGTTGCGGTTGCGCGCTCCCGCGGGCGCTTTGAAATGTGTCGCCCGGGTTGCGGTTGCGGTTGCGCGCTCCCGCGGGCGCTTTGAAATGTGTCGCCCGGTTGCGGTTGCGGTTGCGCGCCCGCGGGCGCTTTGAAATGTGTCGCCCGGTTGCGGTTGCGGTTGCGGTTGCGCGTTCCCGCGGGCGCTTTGAAATGTGTCGCCCGGTTGCGCTTGCGGTTGCGCGCTCCCGCGGGCGCTTTGAAATGTGTCCGCTTTGAAATGTGTCGCCCGGTTGCGGTTGCGGTTGCGGTTGCGCGGGCGCTTTGAAATGTGGCCCTTTTGCCATTGCGGTTGCGCGCCCGCGGGCGCTTTGAAATGTGTCGCCCGGTTGCGCTTGCGGTTGCGGTTGCGCGCTCCCGCGGGCGCTTTGAAATGTGTGGCCCGGTCGCGGTTGCGGTTGCGCCGCCGGGTTGCGCTCCCGCGGGCGGTTTGAAATGTGTCTCCCGAGCTGTCCCCTGACGTTCAGTCAGTCATCAGTCAGCCGGCGGGTACGGAATTTCACCCGGCTCCGCCGGGAATAAAATATACACCGTACGCGAGGGCAGGACGAAACATCTAAGGCCCTAGTACGCGTATGCAAACGAATCTTCGGAGTTGCCAGCATGTCCCTATGGACAGCCCAAGTGCGCCACGCACCCGTAATCATCTTACACACCTCGGCAGTGCAGCTACGATCGAAAGCGATCGGAACGCCCAATACCTTGAACCCCGCGGCTCTATCTCTACAAGGAATCATGGCGCTTCTCACGCGAGGTACGTGTGTAGCACCACTCCATCTCAGCAACAAGGACCTCCAGGCCGTCTTCATTTGAAAGCCCAAGCCAAATCCTGAGCCAAAGAATACCCGCACAACTTCAAATACCTAAAACACATTATCCTCACCCTGTAGAGACAGCTTGACCCCCCACCCGCTTTTCAAGCAGAGGTCGTGGAACGACGATGACGAGGATGACGACGACAGCGACGACGTCGTCGACGTCAGGCCGACCCCATCGCACCACGCCCAAACGAGCACCGTCGAACAACGGGTGCGCGAAGGCAGCCTCGAGCGCCGCCGAACAACAGCTCCGCGAGGGACACCCCCAAACGCGGGCCGCCGAACAACGGCTGCGCGACGGCCGCCCCGAGCGCCGTCGCCGCCGCTCCCCGAGGGAGGGGCGCCTCTCTCTCTCTCTCTCTCTCTCTCTCTCTCTCCCGGGGGAAGGCCAGCTTGGCATAGAAGTCATCCTCCGCCTCCGTACTCCCTCCTCCTCCTCCTCCTCTTCTTCCTCCTCCTCAGAACCATCGTTAAAACCATGTTCCGCATCATTATCATCTTCACCACCATGATCATCGTCATCATCACCACCACCATCTGCATCATCACCATCAGCACCATCATTGTTAGCAGCAGCAGCATCAGCATCAGAAGCGTCAGCATCATAATCAGCATCTGCATCTGCATCGGCATCAGCATCAGCATCAGCATCATCGTCATCATCGTCATCATCATCATCATCATCATCATCATCATCATCATCGTCATCGTCATCGTCATCGTTGCCCTCCTCCTCCCCTCCTCCTCTTGCTCCTCATAATCATTTCCATCACCATCACCGTCAACATTATCAGCATCATCATCACCATCATCATCAGCATCATCATCCTCACCCTCATCGTCATCATCATCATCATCGTCATCATCATCAGAATCATCATCATCAGAATCATCATCATCATTATCATCAGCATCATCATCACCACCATCATCATCATCACCATCACCATCACTATCACCATCACCGTCCCCATCACCACCACCACCATCGCCATCGTCGTCAACGTCGTCGCCGCCGTCATCGCCGTCGTCGTCGTCGTTCTCGTCGTCGTCGTTATCGTCGTCAGCAGAAGCAGCATCATCCGCCTCGCACCTCCTCCCTCAACACATCCTCCTCCTTCTCCTCCTCCTCCTCCTCCGTCGACTCTTGCCATGAGCTCAAAGTGCACTGAGGGAAGCGGGTCCCTGATAACCCAGGGCATCCTGAGTTGTTTCTCGGCGGAGCCAGGGGCACGGGAAGGAGCCCAGGAGTTAAACAATTCGAAGAACCTGGACCCCCTCTTCCCTCTGGACCCCCTCTAGCTCACGGCGGCTGCCATACGCGGGAAGGCCCTGGCGAACAGATCCCTGGCGGCCTCCCCTCCGCCACTGGCCTCGCCGCTGCCCATGGCCCCGCGCCTCGCCCCCTCCCTCCGTCGGCGCGCCCGCGCTAAGCGGGGTCCTGAAGGGTCCGGTCCAGCGACTCCAGGTCCTCCCTCCAGGTGCCGCTGCGTTTCCGCAAGCTGTCGATGAGGCGGCTCTCGAAACGCTGGCGTCAGGGGAGGGGGAGGGCGGGGGACCGGGTGGGCAGGTGAGGTGGAGGGATTGCCTGAAGCAGGCGACGCCACCACAACTTGCTATGACGTCTGGCTGCCTCCCGGTTCCCCTCGCCTGGACACTGCTTCCTCTGGCCCACCCTAGCTTAGCCTCGGGGGGGGGGGGGAAGAATTCGGATGCTGATGTTTGCAGGTTGCCCGTGGGGGTCATCCAAACAACACGGCCAGTAGCGACCAACTGTCGCTCCCGAAGCTTGGCCCAAGGCGACGGTAGCTGCAGGCAAACATGTCTAACGCATGCATATGGCACGCTTAAACTTCCTTGAAGAACCGACCCCTGGAAGAGAATATTCCATTTCGTGGGATGGCACGACTTGGTGTGTTGAGCCGTACCAGGGACAGTCCAACAGATGGAGCACGCACACACAGACACTTAAAAAAACAAACACAGACACAGACACAGACACAGACACAGACACAGACACAAACACAGACACAGACACAGACACAGACACACACACACACACACACACACACACACACACACATACACACACACACACTACCGGGCGGTCATGTGCCAGCGCTGGCCCCCAGACCGACGCCTCCTCGAGGTCCCATTTCTTAATGAAGTCCTGCACCTCGTTAGAGATCTCGTCCGAGCCTCCAGGCGACATGCGAAGCGGTCCCGATTCCCACCATCGCCACAAGCCTCCCTATGGCCACCCGACGCTGTGCGCCCTCTACCTGTTGCTGCCCACTCTGGTCCTGTCATAGGGGGCAAACAAACCTACCTCGCTTTTGACCACCCTCGCTTCCAAGAGATACCAAGCGATGCCAAACTACGGCCTGTACTGGTCAGGCCGCTTGACGAGGAGGCGCGTGGTATGACTTGGTTTTGCCTGGAAGCGAAAGCGGGGTAGGTAATTCACGCTCTGATGTCACTTTGACTTGCCCTGCCGGCAACCTGATTTGTGGCGTGCCATTGGTACATAACTAAACTATGGCACCCAATTTCGCACCCCACGAAGCGCGAAGCGCGATTACCTTCGCAGGCAAAGCTCGGCGGCAGAGCTCCCAATCAACGGCAACCTTCAACAGAGAACCGCCACCGCGCGGCACCTGCACTGGGATCGGAAACTCGCGGAAAACAGCCACCGCCACCGCGCCGTGACCCTCGTTCGCCCACCCCTTCCTCATCCTCCTCCTCCTCCTCCTCCTCCTCCTCGTCCTGCTCCTCCTCCTCCTCCTCCTCCTCCCCCTCCTCCTCCTCCTCAAGCTCCTCGTACCAATTTGGTTGATATGATTATCCGCCGGCCCCCTTGCGGGGCCATCAGGCTGCGAGGATTAAGCTTGCTGCTCCCTGCGCCAGTTCCAGTTTCCAGTTTCCATTGTTACAATACTGCTTTCTGCTTCCTACTGTAAATTGTTACTGTCCGCGCGAGGGGGAGAGCCGAAAACCACCCTGGTTAGCACCCCCCGAGAGGGCTCTCAGAATTCCTAGAGGGAAAAAATTGACACCCCTCACGCAGATCGGCGGGGTCAGGGTTCAAAAACACAAGGGATTTGCCACATTTCGGAAATCCGGTGGCACCCCTCACGCAGGTCGGCGGGGTCAGGGTCCAAAAACGCATGGATTTGCCACATTTCTGAATTCCTGACGCCCCTCAGGCAGATCGGCGGGATCAGGGTCCAAAAACACAAGGGATTTGCCACATTTCGGAAATCCGGTGGCACCCCTCACGCAGATCGGCGGGGTCAGGGTCCAAAAACACATGGGATTTGCCACATTTCTGAAATCCGGTGGCACCCCTCACGCAGATCGGCGGGGTCAGGGTCCAAAATCAAACGTGATTTGCCGCATTTCTGAAATTCCCCGGCACCCCTCATGCAGATCGGCGGGGTCAGGGTACCAAAACAGAAAGGATTTGCCACATGTTTTAAATTCGGTGGCACCCCTTACACAGATCAGCGGGGTCAGGGTCCCAAAACACAAGGAATTTGCCACATTTCGGAAATTCGGTGGCACCCCTCACGCAGATCGGCGGGGTCAGGGTCCAAAAACACAAATGATTTGCAACACTTTTTATTTCGGTGGCACCTCTCACGCAGGTCGGCGGGGTCAGGGTCCAAAAACAAAAGTGATTTGCCGCATTTCTGAAATTCCCCGGCACCCCTCACGCAGATCGGCGGGGTCAGGGTCCAAAAACATATGGGATTTGGTTCATTTCTGAAATTCGGCGGCACCCCTCAGGCAGATCGGCGGGGTCAGGGTCCAAAAACACATGGGATGCGCAACATTTCGGAAATCCGGTGGCACCCCTCACGCAGATCCGTAGGGTCAGGGTCCAAAAACAAAAGGGATCTGCCACATGTCTGATATTCGGCGGCACCCCTCACGCAGATCGGCGGGGTCAGGGTCGAAAAACAAATAGGTCCCGACACTGCTTCACGGCAAAGCTAAAGCCTCATGACTTCGCTCTTCCATGGCCCATTCTCCGAGAGAGGGGGCCGGCGGCGGGGGGCGAAGCCCTTACGGATATATGCAGCATACACATTGTATTCCCCAATCAGTGTTTGCACAGAAGGAGTCCTAGCGGAAGTTGAAAGATTTGGCGAACATGTCCCGCCGATTTTGGTAGCAGGCTGGGTTCCCGGGTCCCAGTTATTTGTTCGGGGCCGACTTTCTTATCGATCGGTCTCACCATCGATCTCATGATCCACCTTTATATCGATATCACTACCGATACCACAATCGATCTCACGATCGATCTCTCAATCGATCTCACGATAAATCGCACCAGCGATCTCACGCTTGAACTCACGATCGATCTCTTTTAATCGATTTCACGATCGGTCTCACGATCGACCTTGCAATCGTCCTCACTATCGCTTCCACGATCGATCTCACAATCGATCTCAATATCAATATCCATATCACTAACCTTCAAACCATCCGCTGCTTGGGGTTTTCCTCTGGCGTTATATAAACATAACACCCATAAGCTGCTGGAAAAGAGCGTTCTGACCAAAAAACCGCTGCGATGACGGATCCCTCGCCTTTTTGAAAACAAGGCTAGACTGTGTCCCGCGTAGCTGTCCCGGCAAGCTACGGTCGGACCGCCGGAGTACCACTCAACGCCTTCCGGATCATGGTAGAATGGTGGGAGGGAAGGGGCGCGACGACGAGCGGAGACGCGCTCGTAATCCTGCGATGAGAGGCGCGCACCCTCTCGCAGAGGAGCGGCCTGAACGCCCCCCCCTTCAAGAGTGGGGCTGCTTACACGCGCGGCAACAGGAGCACTTGATTGACCTCGCGGATCCGCGCGGATGGGCACAAGCCGACGTGATGCTAGGGCCACAAGGAGCAGGCGCACCGCCTCCCCAGGGGGGCGCGCGAACCGCCCGCGCCTCAGGGACCTCCACAGGCCCGACGCACGGACGACAACAGCAGCACCGCCGCGCCCGCCGACCATCGCACCCTCAACCCTCAACAGATCAAGCGCACGCATCCTGCCACGCACCATCACGCACCAGCCGGAATGGCGCACGATGCTGACCATCCACGACATCGCCAGTGCACTAGACCGCAGGGACCAAACCGATGAAGACGCCAACGCCCCCCCCCACCGCGCTACCCGACGACGGCTCGGTGGACGGCGCCGCGGCGCAAAGGGTGCGCGACATGCTAAGGGATATCCCGAGCCCTGGCGCTAATCAAGGCCAATGGCTATCGGCCGTAATGTGGCTCATCCTGCGCCCCCACTGCCGCTCTCTGCTGTGACCGCTGCTCGTGAGGAGTCGGATTGATGGAGGACCCGTCGACGTTGTCGCAAGATGGCCCAGGCGAGCAACGGTATTATCGCCGGCGCAGCTCGTGAGCTTTGCCGCGGTGGCCACCGGCATGCCCGCAGAGGCGTTTCCTGCATGCGAACCCTTCAGCGCCGGAGCGCTATGGGGACACCCTAAGACACCTAGCATGTCTTATGCAGGAATCCGCCAGAGAAGGGGGGCAGCAGGGGCGTTTCGTATACAACGAACTGACAGCCGCCGTGGCCAGGGCTTGCCCACCGCCTGCCCCCCCCTCCCAGATGGATGCCACGAGGGAACGATGCCCGATCTGCCAGGACATCATGATCGGGAGTGTGTCCAGCACAATACCATGTGGGCACCGAGCGCACTCTCACTGCCCCGAGGACTGGAGAATGCGACAAAGAAGGAACGAGCGTCAGTGTCCGCTGTGCCGCGGCGAGGATAACGGTGACACCCTCCAGGTCATCGAACCACCTGCTCCAGCAGCGCCAGACGCGCCTGCGCAAGGGGCGGAGAGTGGGAACGCAGTCCCTGCCTCCCCCGCACAGCCCAACACGACAGAAGACCACGACAGCATGGCGGAAGACGGCGACGGACGGGAAGAGGACACCCTTCTACCCCCAGCAACGGAGGCCGAAACACAATGGGCCACCAGCGTCCTAGAAGGGGTCGCACGGCTCCGACCCGATGGCACCGCCGGCCCTCGGCCTCAGACACACTCCCACGAGGATGCGGACAAGCTACGGCGCATGATCCGATGGCAGCGTGCGTTCACACAACGGCAGGCCACCATGGCCACCTGCTCACCCGGGCCCGCGAATGAGGCGACGTCAGAAAGGAACTCCGAGTTGCAAGGGCCACCACGCGAAGGAACACAATCGAGCAGAGCAGCATCCAGTCACCCGGAGACTGAACCCCCGAACGAAAGGGCGCGACTGGAGACCCACGAGAGGTGGTGCAACGTGGTAGTCAGAGTTAACACAATCAGCCACGGACGCACGAGAGGACCAGTCCACACGCCCACGTCCATAGTCGCGGCAGCGATTCGAGAGCTACGAGCAACCATTGTGATATGTCCGCGGGCACTGGTCGGAATCAGGCCCATCGACAACACAGCAGCGACATTCACGTTCCCCAACGAGGCTGGACACGACGGAGTGAGAGAGATCCTGGACTACTCAAGGAGAGCTACCGAGTGTCCAGAGGCGCAGATCCCGCCCCCGCCTCCTGTTATCATGGCAGTAGACACCAACGCCACTCAAGTGGGCGCCCTGGTCGGCCTTATCCAGCTCGAGGATGTCCCCTGTCACTTGGTCGTCTTCGGACACGAGCGGGTTCTACACCAGGAGGCCCAGACCCGACTGGGATGACGGCCGCCGCACACACGCTCTGGGGACACCGGGCACTCAGCAGAGCCAACCATCTGGTACAAGTCGGAGGACCGCTGGCCGAGAACCGCGGCCCCATGCAGATTCTTGCCGTGCAGATCAACATCCTGGCCAGGCCCATGCGCTTACGACACGCCCCCAGTGTAGTGGTGCACTGGGAAAACGGCAATGCCGACCTAAAGGACACCCTTCACATCCTCACCCCCGACTCCGGCAACGAGCACGTCGTCGCTCTCATAACGCGCACTCAACGGGACTTAGAGTCGCATGGGCACCAGCTTGAATGGGCCACCAACATCACGCAACTCGGGCGCAACCCAGAGTTCCTTCAACAAGGAATAGAGCCTCTGGTCCATCACGCCATCAAGATCCGCATGCGGGACTCCAGGCCTGTCGACGTCAACCGCGTCATCGTGAGCGTACAGGCGGCGGCCCAGCAACGGGCACTCACCGAAATCCCCACCGCAGTATGGAGA